GGGCCACAATGGGTTCTTAAACTGGACCGGAGGGCCGGAACAAAAGCATGGATGGAGTGTTTGTGTGAACTAATATAAATTCAAAGTAAACATCATTACATAAAAGGGTATGGTCTTTTTTTTTTTTTTTTAGTTTTATTCATTTCAAACGGGCCGTAGTTTGCCCACGGCTGGGCCTAACACCTCACTGTTGCCCTTCCCTTTCTCCTCCATTTCTTCTGTCACTAAATATTGAGCTCCAGTCATGTGTCTGACACGTCTGAGGCTCCAGGGATATGGAGGTAGGCATGTTGGTTGAAAATGCTGAGCAGGGAGAGCTGAGCAGGGTCAGGTGGTGTGAAAAGCCTGGGGTCTCAGCTCCAATCCCAGCTGTGTGACCTCCTCTCTCAGTCTCTTCATCTGTAACATGGAGCTAATGATAGTAACTACATCACAGGATTGGCATGAGAATGCTTTGTTCGTTTCTGTGCCTGACAGATAGAAAACTTGAGTAAAAGTTGCCTATTAGCCATACTAAGAATAGGTTACTGCTGCAATTCAAGAAAAATAAAGAAAAAAATGCTCAAGCCAGCAACAATTTTGCAAGTAGCTGGTCCTTCTCACAGCATACAAAAGGATTTCACACCTTGTGGATATCCTAGACCAGGGGTCCTCAAACTTTTTAAACAGGGGGCCAGTTCACTGTCCATCAGACCGTTGTAGGGCCGGACTATAGTTTAAAGAAAACCTATGAACAAATTCCTATGCACACTGCACATATCTTATTTTGAAGTAAAAAAACAAAACGGGAACAAATACAGTATTTGTATTTGCATGTGGCCCGCGGGCCGTAGTTTGAGGACCCCTGTCCTAGTCCTTCAGACCCTGTCTCTCTTAAAATTCAGATCAGGAAACTAACCAGAAGAGAGACTCCACTGGCCCTGCTCAGCCTACAGGGCCAGTGACTGCAGGAATGGGCCAGCCCTGCTGAGTACCAGGCAGCCTTAGGTCCTTTGAAGCTCTAAGTAAAGATATGGGTGTTCCTGGTGGCAGGATTTTGTTTTTTCACCTTTTACATCAACTTTATTGCAGTATAATATGCATACAATAAAATGCTACCACCCAGAAAATTGCCTTGTGTCCCTTAGTTGTCAATTCTCACCCCAAAGATAACCACTGGTATAATTCCTGCCACATGGTTCAGTGATGCTTGACTTTATAATGGAATCATATATACTTTTCCCTCCATTTTTTATAGCTTTATTGAGGTGAAGCTGTAAAATTAATGTACATAAACAGCACCTACTGGAAGTACTGAAATGTTTTAGCATATGTCCCTTGAAACTATTCGCACACAAGAATTTCAAGATAACAAATCCATCACCCTGACAAGTTTCCTACACCTCTGTATTCCATCCCTGCCTTCCCAGCCCAACTACTGATGGGCTTTATGTCACTACAAACTAGTTTTGCATTTTAAAGAACTGTTTATCAGAATAACCCAGTATGTTCACTTTTGTGCCTGGCTTCTTTTACTCAGTGTAATTATTTGGATTCATTCATGTTATTGTATCAATACTTCATTCCTTTTTTTCCCCCAAGCAGCATGTCATAGGGTATATTTCCATTGATTTTTAGAGAGGGTGGGAGGGAGGGGGGGAGAGCCAGATAGAGAGAAACAGTGATGTGAGAGAGACACATCCATTGGTTGCCTCCCGCATACATCCTGACTAGGACCATCAAGCCTGCAACCTAGGTACGTGCCCTTGACCAGAATTGAACCCAGGAACCTTCAGTCCACAGGCTGACACTATCCACACTGAGACAAACCAGCTAGGCTCCATTCATTTCTTGATAAAACATCAGAGTTCAATTTGGG